AATTATTCTGTAGCATTCTAAATAAAAGAATACAAGATTTCCTTAACCAACAATCCATCTTGAGTAAAAATCAAATAGGCTTCCTTCCAAAACACCGCACCACCGACCATGTATATACCCTTCACACTTTAGTTAACAAACATGTACACCAAACACAAAATGGTAAGATATTCACTTGTTTCATTGATTTCAAAAAAGCTTTCGACTATTTGGCACGAAGGGCTCTATTATAGACTTCTACATTGTGGTATAGGGGTATAGAGCAGAATTAGGCAGATACCCACTGATCATTAACACTCAAAAGAGAGCACTAACATTCTTTAACCACCTTAGATCCAGCCCCCGAGACACCCTCCACTCCAAAGCCCTCCAAAGCCAAGAACTAACCCCAGAGAAGAGTCCCCTATGTCAGCTGGTGCTGAGGCTAGCTGCCCCCTCTCAGAGCCACTCTGACCAGTCTCTCAGCAACACTGCTCTCCAAACACCAATCACAAGACAACTATTTACAACATTGGAAAGAAGAAACTAAAAGCCAAAGTAGATTAGAATGTTACCTGGCTCTAAACAGAGAGTATGAGCTGGCAGAATATCTCTCTACTGTCAGAGATAGAAAGCAGAGACAGATCCTAACCAAGTACAGGCTCAGTGACCACAAACTGGCAATCGAAACAGGAAGACTCAAAAGATCCTGGCAACCAAAAGAGAACCGAATATGTGGTCACTGTACGACAGGTGAGACTGAGACAGAGATGCACTTCCTCCTGAAGTGCCAAACATTCAACGAAGTAAGGAGCGTTTACTGGAACAAGTTGAACTCTGTAATCCCAGGTTTCAAGCAGGTTGATGACCTCTCAAGACTGAGAGTACTTTTAGGAGAAGGAGACAAGGCACATCTTGCTGCCCAATATGTATACACATGCCACAACCTGAGGGACAGTGAATGAGACACACACACACACACACACACACACACACACACACACACACACACACACACACACACACACACACACTTTGAAATGTAATTGTATCACTGTATATGTATATCATCAATAATATGTAAACATTTGAAATGTATGTTAATGTTGTTAATTATTTTGTATTATGATGCTTTGGCAACATTGTTTAATTTAACTTTCATGCCAATAAAGCCCCTTTGAGAGAGAGAGAGAGAGAGAGAAAACAAAAAGTCGAGGCTGTAAGTGATGACTGTCCTGCGTCCAGAGGTGAGCCAACAACACCAGGCTGCTGAAAAATGAAACAGCAAATGGAGCAGCCAGTAATGACTGATGCTATCCAGCCTCATTCCAGCCTGTATGGTGGTGGTTAGTGCAAATGTGTGTGTGTGGTAAAGAAGTGTGGTATTCTTAATTCAGAAACATTCACTGTCCGTCAGCCAGAAATCTATCCAGGTATGTTTGACAGGCTCGACCATGATGAGGATAGGTGTCGTAAATATTTATTTTAGGGAGAGAGAGTAGGGGTCATTTTGTCTGATGTATGTTTAAAGTACATTCCTGTCTAGCCAGCACTCTGATCGTCATTGTTTACAGAGGAGGAAGATTGATGTGGTGAGGGCATGAGGGGGTAATGGTATGAGGTGAAGCAAAAGTAGCAGGACGGGACATCAAAACAGACATCTGGGTGTTGGAAGCCGGGACTGTTGCCAGAGTGCAGCCTTATCTCTGCTGACCGCGGGGAGGTCATGACCCCCGCTGCGGAGAACAACAACTTTATGGCTGTCTCTCTGTTATCTCTCTTGGAGGCTTTCTTCTTTTTGTAGCTTTCTTTGTTTTGAGAAAAGCTGGTAGTCCTTGATTTGTGCAAAGACAGAAAGTACACAAAATACATTGCCAGGACTATGCAACCAATGCTGAACTCTTGAGCTCATTTGTACCTTTGTTAGACTTGTCCTAAATATGTTAAATATGACATGTTCTGTTGCAACCAGAAGTGACAAAGGAGGAAGAGTGTTTAACAAAGTAACAGAACATAACAAAATATGTTACAATTAACTTCAGAAAATTAAGAAAATGGAAATCATGCTGTATTGAAGAAGACTTAAAACTAGCTATTGAGACAAGGAACTCACTTGTTCACTGACGTATTGAATCAAGTGAGAAGTAAGGTCATTTTCTCATAAAGGTATTTACAACCCAACCTATTTTTGCAAGTTGAGACGTTACCTGGCTATTAGGAAGAATGCAAGTTTAAAGAACTTCTACACTGGTTTAATTTCTCAGGCCATAGGTTGTCTGATCAGCCCTATCAGGGGAAGGTGGGTTGAGTAAGATCCTTGGTCTAGAGTCTAGAACTGATCAATATTACTTACAAAAAACTCTATCCTACTGTACCTCAAGTTAAGGCCCAGCAGCGACTACACTTCCTGAGGGTACTTCGGAGAAACCGACTGAACAAGAAGCTGCTGGTGTCATTCTACCGGGCGACCATCGAGAGCGTGCTGTCATACTCCATCTCGGGGTGGTATGCAGGATGTTCCTCTGCGGACATGAAAGCCCTGCAGAGAGTAATCAGGATGGCAGAGAAAACCATCGGCTACCCCCTGCCCTCTCTGGAACACATCTCCACCTCCCGCTGCCGCAGCAGAGCTAACAAAATTATAAAAGACAGCTCTCACCCAGGTCACAGACTGTTCTCTCTCCTGCCTTCTGGGAGGAGATACAGGAGCTTCAAGTCACGGACAAACTGATTCAAAAACTGCTTCTACCCCTGGGCCGTCAGGCTGCTTAACCACCACACATAATGCAATAACCCTAACCATTCTCACACATACACACACTTTTAATGCACTTTATTTACTATTTCTATATCTGTTTATAGTTTGTATTTTTTGCTCACCGGGACAGACTTGCACTCTGAATCTCGTTATACTCTGTGTATAATGACAATAAAAGGCTTTAACTTTAAATTGACCCTTACGTCCATCTTTATCTTTGAAGAGCTATGATATGTTTGCTTAACAAACAAGTAAGATCCAACCAGAGCTCTGCTGAGGTCAGCTCGAACACTGCTAGTGTTTACAGAGGAACTTGACATTTTGACTAACCTGCAATTTGTTTCTTTGTCTCCCCGCATTTCTTACCATCTTCTTTCTTTTTTCCCTCCCTTTTACCAGATTTCAATAAAAAATGACTTGATGCTTGGGAATACAATCCTGCCAAATCTGCTTAAGTTCCTTTGAGTCTTTATGGCACATGTCGCCAGAGACACTCTGAGAGACGGCACTTTAAACAGATATCAAAAAGATGAGTGAAATTATGATCCCAGCAAACTCACAGACATACACACACCAAAACCAGCAGATAAGGCTTATGGAGGGGTCTTACCCTCGTCGAAAGGAAGTCTTAACCTCTTGATGTCATCATACTTCTGTGCCTAGAGTCACTGTAACCTTGGAAACTGTTTTGACTTGAACTATTTTGTGTGTAGCTTTGAGAGACTGTGCTGCCTTCTATTTCTCACTTGTCATCCCGCGGCCAGTCAGTTTCGTCTTTTTTTGATAAGGAGACAAAACAACACTTGCAGTTCTGTTGAAACTCTGCCAGCATCCTTCCCTCTCATCTCTTTTTCTCTGCCGCCCCATCTCTCCATCTGTCCCTCAACCCTCCATCGCCTGTCAGTGCTCCCTCATAGCGATGAAGCTTATTAGCAGGCTGTCTCCGTCAGGTAGAGGGGGGTCCTCCCTCCCCTGTTTATATTTAGATACTGGGATACTGCAGGTATAATGTTTATAATGAGGTCTGGAGCAGAGGATGGATCTTGTCAGTCTCACACAGAGAAGGAGAGCAACAGAGAGATTATAGCCATACAGTGTGGTGTACTAATAATGCTGTCGTTAGTTTTGCATGTCAATGTATCTGTCTGACGCATAAAGTCACAACTCGTTCCCCATAATGCGGCTTTTATTTTCTAGTAACACTAGTCAGGGTCTTGGATGTCCCTTTGTGAGTCATCGTTTCGTACTCAAGCGTTTGGGGAAGAATTTCTTTAAATATTATTAGGCACCACTAATGGCTTATGAAGACTGTCTTATTGTGCTATGCTGCCAAACATAGTCTTAATGTCTTAGGAAAAAAATGATGTAGTCGTTTGACTTGTTTCAATGCAAAGGAAGAAGACCATATTAAACTGAATGTCAGTCTCTCAACATTGGTGATGTTTCTGGGTTGCAATGTGGTTTGTGTTTTTGTGTAATTGTATCATTCATTGTAATAATGACATTGAGGTTTCGAGAAAACACAGATGTATAATTTCCCTTTCACTCTTTCTCTGAACACACACCTGCACACACAAAGGTATGCAAAGATAAACAATTAACAAACCAATTCTAACAAATGTCTCAGCTTTACTTATTTGCCGAGTAACATTAGATCATTGCTTTTGTCATTCGTTAGTTCTAACTTCTTGAATATTAGAATTGTATTTTCTCTTTGGCATGCATGATATAAACGTATATATCTTGGGCTGTTGGTCAAAGAGATCAACACATTAGATGATAACAACTTGTGCTGTACTAAATGACATCAGGCATTTTCAACTTTTTTCTGACATTCTTAGACCAAATTATAAATCGAATGAAATAGATAATAATAATGTTCAGCCCTTCATTAAACTACAGTGAACATTGTTGAAAGGTTTTTAGCAGATGGCTTGATTTGTTGCATGCAAGTGTTGCATGTAATGAATTGCTCTGTGCCTTACATTTTCAAAAATGTTTCCCAAAGTGCAACATCCAAAGAGAATTGTGAATGAATTTATTACAGGATGATATCTTAGCCAAACACTGTCTGGCAGATGAACTTGAATGGGTCTGCACTAAGGGATGATAAGAGAAGAAATGTGCTCAAAGCTGAACCAACAGTGGCTCACAAATGATGAGTTCCTGTAATCGTGGCCTCATTTTGTCAGGAAAGATGTCAGTATTTAATAACTTGAAATCACCCAAGGTATTAATTATGATGTTTCTTCTCTTCTCTTAGAGCATAGTGGCAAAGTACGGCTCTCAGTTTCGGGGAAACTCTCAGCACGATGCACTTGAGTTCCTCCTCTGGCTTTTGGACAGAGTTCATGAAGATGCCAATGAAAGCCCCAACAACACAAACAGCAGCAGCAGCAAGGCCAACGCCAAGGTGAGTCCACTTCATCATACAGCCACAGGGTCTGCAACATCGAGCTGGTCTTTGTCACTGCCACTGAACCTTAATGTGGCTGAATATGCTAAATGTGATTGTGACTTATCATGCAGGTCCTGCTATTGCTAGCTTGTTTTTATACCTTCTCCCTGTTGGAGACAAGTCAGTGCAGACTCTCACTCTTACTGCTCATTGAATATAAGCAGACATAGACTCAATTTGACTGAATCCTTGAGTCGTCCCAGACAACACAGTGACCTCAAGCATTTTTCTTTGTGGGCTTTACAAAGAGGAAGGAAGAGTTGCGGTCAGCTCTAGCCAGTAAAGCCCAAGAGGGAAATGTTTGATATTCTTCTTGGTTGGATTGCTAGTCTTTTTCTCCACACTCAGTTTAGAGTCTGTCTTTTTCCTGTACTGCACAAATGATTTCACGGGCAGCAAAAACTGAAAAATGCTGCTCCACCTGGCACATTCAAGTTTCATGAAATTCTGTCACATGTGTTTTTGTAGACTGCAGAGCGCTACAATGATCCAAGCTCAGGTGCAGGATCATGTTACATGTAACACTGAGGCCATTGTTTAATTGGTACAGTTCAAAAATAATGCTGACCTTGTCATCTAGCTCACAATGGCAGATAATCATTAATCTACTCTATGGCTTTGTCCCCGTTTTCTTGAATTTTATTTGAAGAAGTTATTTCACTCATCAAACTTTTAAAGCTAGGACATTTTGTCTGTGCGTTTGAGTGTCAGCAATCGTTCATCCAAACAACTTCACACTTTGTGGTGATCCAAGAGAGTGCATTGGCGAATGTAGAGCATTGGGCCAACTGGTGGCACTGTAACAATGGACATTATGGTTTGGCCTGGTTCTTTTGAACTTTAAATCTATAATTGAATTAACATCTAGGTCTTTCTGCTATTTCCCTCAGCAAGTATTTAACAACTTCACCAAATTGGGTACAGGACATATCTAGAACAAAACAGGTGTGATGATTGATACAGTTTTGCTATAGCTGGCTCAAATGGTGTTGGCAGGGCTTGTATTATAGAACATGTCATATCTACTGGGCACTTTGTGCTATTGCAACTAGATTTGGGGGACATGTAGATATGGTGTCTGTCTGATTGCCTACGACAGAGCATATGTTATACTCTCCTAAGTATGATTCAAGAGCTGTTCAATTACTGCATTTATACTCAGTGATTGTATTGCTGAGGATCCAAGGAAGTGACGAGTGTGAAATAAATACCATTAACAACATATAAAACTAATGTCCAGTCCTCTTTAGTAAATTGAAAAGTTCTCTGGATGTAGCTCTCTGTGGAGAGGTAAAGTGTCATTGTTACAGTGCTCAGAGTGCCGATGTGTTTCTTCCACCTGCAGTTGGGTTGAAACTCACTAGCCTTGAGCTGAAATGATTCTTTGTGTGCGCTTTCCTGTGTGATGTAAGAGGAGAAACCGTTGATGTGGCAGGCATCTGTCTCTGTCTGTGTTTTTGTCTCGGATGTGGGACATTCTCTTTGCAACCTTGCACTTGGAAATGATCTGGGACTGGACCTGACCGGTGAGAGAGAATGAAGGGCAGACACATCATGTCTGAGCTGATTACTTTTTAGCATGACTAGAGTAGCCAAGCACAAAAATCCAGTTAAATGTTGTCTTAGGTCAGTATATTTATTGGTGTAGACTAAAGTGCACTTTTGTGAGATTTCTCAGAAATTCACACGGACACAAACAGATATATAATAATACAAAAACAACCAAACTTCACCAGATATAGCAATCCAATCTTGTCCTGTTCTTCTATTTTGTTCCCTCTGTTTAACCTTCATTCTTCCTGACCATTATGTCAATCAAATGCTTTTAAACAGGCCTATTACTGGCTGCCTGTTACACTCGGTCCACACAATAGTTTAGTTATTGAAGCTGAAAGTTGAAACTGTAAGCACTGCAGTGGTGAAGAAGTATTGTCTATGAGAACGTTTTGAAATGATATACTTAATCTGCTCCAGTTTATTCATTACGTCTCTGATGCTAAACAGCTTTGAAATAATTATTAAACAACTATTATATATTATATTACAACTATTATATATTCCAGCTCTTGGCCGTATAAAGTTCTCAAGCAATATGGGAAACGGAACACATTATATATTGTTTTGAATCCTGAAATGTATCATCTGCCTATTGAGATTCAGCTCCCTTAGTAATTATAGTCCAACTGATCTAGTGAAGGAGTAGCAGGGGCAGTAATTCAGATTCTATTTAATTGACCTTTCTGTTAGACTGGCTGTTAAACCTGTATACGTATAGTACAGTGTGTAATTAAATGTGTAATTATTTGAGTGTGCTTGTGTTGGCCTAGACTAGAGTTTAGCAGCAGCGCAGCTGGTTTTGCCTGCCAGCAGACGACCCTCCAGCACTGTCAGTAAATGAATACTGTTATGAGCTGAACTGTCGCCGCGCTGCCACCCAATGGCCAGCTCTCCCGCTATGACAGCAGCGCTAATAGAGGCAGCCTTTATGCCACATAAAGAGCTTACGGCCGCGGCTCTCATTTGGCTGCCAGTGAATCATGGTATCATAAAGCCGGCTTTCCTGTGCTACTGCTGTGAGGCACAGAAGAGGGAAATCACTGGATTTTTCACACAAGGAGGGAAAATGTCTACTTTTCTAGAATCAAATTCTCATCCCCCTTCTCCGTAAATTGATTCCATTTATGCTGCACAGTGTGCTCACGCTTATACTGCTGATTTAATTAAAAACTTTGAAACTTGGAGATTCATTCAGTCTCCAATGAGGTTTTGAATAATTAAAGTCCAGGACTCTCAGTGACATTTCAATCAATCAATCAATGTTTATTTATACAGCCCAATATCACAAATGTTACATTTGTCTCAGTGGACTTCACAGTTTGTACAGAATATCAGTATGGCAATATAACACCCTCTGTCCTTAGACCCTCACATCGTACAAGGAAACACTTCCGGAGAAAACCCACAGTTTAAAGGGAAAAATGGGAGAAACCTCAGGGAGAGCAACAGAGGAGGGATCCCTCTCCCAGGATGGACAGACGTGCAATAGATGCCGTGTGTAAATTGAAAAGATAATACATTTGCAACAAAGGTAGTCCAAATGTTTGGAAATGCATGTGTCTATAATATGAAGATGAATCCACAAGGATATCCATCCAAGACTCATGATCCAGGACCACAGCCACGACTCAAGATCCAGGACTCATGATCCAGGACTCAGGACCACAGCAACAGGATCAGCCATGACTCCGGATCCCGGTGTAGATAGACACCAAAAAGAAATTTGGGGAAGCTGGGTTAATCGGAACATGAGAGTACACAGGTATAGACAGAGAGAAGGAAGAAGTAAGGTGTCCCCCGACAAACTAAGCCTATATCAGCAAAACTAGGGGCTGAATCTAATCAGCCCTAACTATAAGCTTTATAAAAAAGGAAGGTCTTAAGCGCACTCTTAAAAACGGATAGGGTGTCTGCTGCCCGAACACAAACTGGAAGCTAATTCCACAAACGTGGAGCTTGATAAGAAAATGTAAACAATTATATATAATGCATCAAGGAGTTTGCACTTTGCCAACAATAGTTTTGCCAATGTTCATTCACCTGTATACGGTAAGATGAATTAGGAGAGAGAAAGACAATTTCAGTTTCTCACACAGAAGCATTACAAGTGGAATGATTATAGAAGTCTGTTGACAGGGCAGAATAACTGACAGACGGTTAGATGAAGTGGTGACTGAGTTGAGCAGTTCAGAGAGGAAAGTGACTTTGACTGCTTTGTCTGTCACCGTAGCCTGGGAAACGGCCATCTAGGATTATACAGGTCATGCTGAGCTGACAGAAACTTAACAGTGTCAACATTGTCCCTGTCATTTTCACATTTAGTGGTTAAAACCTCGTCCTGCAGTTCATCCTCATTCTTCTCCTGACCCACACATAGACTTCAGATATGTTACTTACGCATCTTGTATTTTTAAATCGACTAAACTTAAATTGAAATATTATTTGTGTAATAAATGTTTACATGGATGCAACATACAAACTGTCTCCAATCTGTTGAAGATACTGTTGTTTAACTTCATTCTGTGGTTTAACCTGTTTTTTTTTCTTAGGCCGCTTTTACATTTGTAATTAAACACGATGAATTTGTTAATTTTATTAGTCTGTGATTGCTTAGGTAACCTAAACATCACCATGCCTGTCAAATAAATAATCTGCTAACAATTTGTGTAAGCAGAACAGCTCGTACGTCGTAACTGCAGTTTTGACAGCCTCGGTGACATTTCGTTGGTCTCATTATTATTATTCCTGTCAGGATTTATTCTCTCGAGGTGTGTTGAAAATCTCATGAAAACATCTGTAATGAGTTCCCTTAAAACAAGTTGTGTTTCACTATTTTAGTCACAGCTCACGCTATTGATTATCAGGGCAAAACAAAACGAATATGTTTTCGGCATATGTTGTTTTCTTGTGAAGACGGATGTGAAACTTTATCCTACTGAGGTGTGGTAGGAGGACAAGGGTTGTTAACACAGTGGGACAAAATGTGGCTTAGATTATTGGATGACGACATGTATTGTTTTACGGTAGGCCGATTGCTTCAAAAGCAAACACAGATTCCCACAGATCAGAACAAATATGAGCCGGGAACCTGAGTCAAGTCACTTGTTTCCTTGAGTGTGTTGAAGGCACATTCCTCTGTGAACGGCAATCTAACTTAACCTGATAATGAAACGGTATGGATATACAGTATCCTGCTATATATATTTATTGATTCAGGACATGTGTCTGTGTAGGTGTTTCCTCACACAGGTTTAAAAGTATGTTAGGTGAATAGGAAACTATAAATGATAATATTATTTTGATTCCCATTATCAAGACTCAAAGAGGCTGCTTCACACAGCTTGCCATGTATGTTAAATTAATTGTGTGGACAAACCATGTGTACCAAACAAATGAGT